TTGAATCCCTTCTCTCTGCATCCGCTAATCCTCTTTTGCACTTGATCAATCATGAGCTTGCACAAACCCAATCACACAACACACTGCAAAGAAACTGAAAAGAGAGAGGAAAAATGTGTCTGTCCAAGCAAAATCCCCCTTGAGGATGTTTCAGTCACAACCAGTTTGCACCGGTTATAATGTTGAACAGATGTTTCATAAGGATAGGAAGATGTTTTCATTTCATTTATTAGGTTAATATAATGTAATCTAATAACAACAGCAGCACATTTAGGTGTAATGTTTACTCACACCAGCAAGAGTTAGAGGATCTAAAAGCAGTTTTATTATTTACAAAGGATAATTAAAGCATTATCTAACCAAACACGCAGCCTAAATAGGAAAAGACCTGACAAAGGACAAGGAAAACATGAAGGATAAAGACACAAGGGTAAATGCGATAACAAGACAAGAAGCAATGGTATCAATGGAAAGGTATCCAGAGAAGAAGACATAAACAGTAGTTTTTCTTTTCAAAATCTTTAAATAAATGTTTAGAAGTTGTAAAGTCAAAGTCGCCACAGTTTTCCATCAAGTTACTGTATAATTGAACATTTCTTTACAGAACAATGGCGCATAAAATGCTTTGCAATGTCTACATATATCCCAGCCCGCATAAGAATGATATCTAATCATATTTGACCACTTTATGAGATTTTTCAGAAAATCACACAGCTCACAGAAATTTCCACTTCATTCCAATGGGATGTACTGTACTGTGAAGCTTGTCTGACTTAAACAGTAACCAAGGTGGTGAAGAATAGCATAAAGCTTGCCAGAAAATACTAAACAACATTTCCTCCTCCATTCTCTGTGGCAGCTTGAGAATGATAAAATACACAGAGCACATAATTTGCTCTTCATTATTTTGCATTAGCGCTAAAAAAGCTTCCTGTCTTTGCCTCTAAGTGAAAAAGCGAGAGACGAACATGAAATTGTCCAGCGAGTAAATTTTATTCCAACCAAAATCAGTTGAATGCACATCATGTCATTATTATGATTTCCAAACTCATAACTTCCCAGGACAGCTTGAATGCAGCACATCACGAAACAAGACACACCTGAGAACCACAACCTAGTCAAGAAAATGGATACAGAACTTCAATACACAAAACCATTTCATTAGACATTTTCCCTTCCCAAACTGAAAGCTAAAACACTAATCTAACACTGAAGCAGTGTTACAGTATTGTCAGTTCTTCAATGAAAGTCTTTGGAGGAGGGTAGTCTGCATGCCTCCATTTCCAATTTCCATCCATCAAAACAATATGCTAGAAAGGGCATGAGGCAGCACAGCAGGAAACACCAGCACGTTTTGCATTTTTGTCTCCATCTGTATGCAAATGCTTCCATTATTGCTTGATTTGTAAGACCAAGGGCAGCAACACATTTCATCAAATGCTACATTTCCCCACCTACTGATGCTGTGCTCTGAATAAAGCACAAGGCCCGAGAAACACAGCAGAGAGCAACAGAATCAGTGTTCTGCAAAACAATGACACTAATTTACAATCAACAAGAACCAATAACATTTCAGGGTACATACAAAGTCATGAGGACATGCAGTATAAGAGAAATAAAGGAACATACTTTGATTTTGGCCTGTGATGTGCCCCTTGTGAGAAGTGACAGGCACATAAAAAATGTGCAGCAATAATACAAAAATCTGAAAAACTTGTGAGTGTTTATATGCGGTTTCATGAAATATCAGCAAATCATCCAGTGTTTCTGTGATGTCCAACTCCAAAAATGACTCTTATAAGATCTAAAAGAGTCTAAAAGATTCACAAAGCAGTAGGGCTACCCTCGACTAAAGATTTTTCTGGTCGACTAGTAGTCGTTCATTTTAAGCATTAGTCAACTAGTAGTCGCACTTTTATTAACAAACCATATAAATCATAATAATGAGCCTTTAATTGCCTATAGCCTAATAAGCGCTCAAGCGCACGCAAAAAAAGGCTTGCCACAGCGCACCGGCAAATATAATAATTATGAATGTGTTAGGGAAAAACAGCAAGTACACTGCATTAACGTTTTAATAACTTATTGTTACACTAGTGCTTTCTGTTTTCGGTTTAAGAGATCTCATTTCGGTTTAAGCCATCTTCACAGTATGCGCCTGTATGCATGTTTCATACGGATTACATAATCTGAGAATATTTGTTTTCTATTTGAATTGGTTCATTTAAAAGTTTCACTCTCTATAGATATATTTTTCATGTCTGTAATAAGGCAAGAATACACAGAGTTTCGAAGTGAAGCGCTCAAATTCACAGACCGAGGCGGCAGAAAGCGCATCCTGTTTGCTTTAATTATTTAACAAAAGCGCAACATTTCGTTGTTATTCTGAGTGCACACGAATAAACATAGAGTCTTAGCGGATACAAAAGATGCATTACTCTTATCTGTGTGACCAAAAATGACGAAGTATTTTAAGAGCAAATGATCGCACCGGCGCCTCCATCTGTCATGCAGTAGCCCAAGCGCGCTACTGTTCAGCTTCCACACTCCGCACAAACACGTGAACTGCGCACTTTTTTCTAGGCTAACATTAGATTGAGCTGCCATGTAAAGTTGCTACTACATACATATTTCAGATGATAAGCCATACTTGAGGTCAATGAATGTTAGGTGAGCATATGGTCGTCATGCCCGATGTACTATATTACCACATAGACCAGCCGTTAACGATTTGTCCGTCACGGACTGGGTGATTTAGCTACTTCGTGTGGAATTTTTTTTTTTGCGACTAAACGACTAATGAAATTTTGGTTGACAAAGCCTCTTCTCGTCGACTAACGGTTAGTCGACTATTACGGGGCAGCCCTACAAAGCAGTCGCAAATGGTTTGAATCAAAGTTCACAACTTCTACTGTTCACAATCAACTCCCTTACTGGTTCATTTTTCAGTTATTCCATATTAAAATTAACCAGGAACTTCACTGTAATGTATACTTCACATTTGTGAGACTTCAATAGCATGACATGTTGGAACCATAATCAACACGTTTTTCTGTTTTTGCTCTAAACAGGCATACATCATTTTACAAAACTAGATCAATACAGTATACAGTATACAATACAGAGTCAGTAATGTGACAACAATTTTGAATATGTTTATACTAAATGCATCAATAAATAATATCTTAGTCTGCACTAAACTTTCCCTTAACTACAAGAATATTTAAATAAATTGGTGACTTAATCGACAAAAAAATGCACGTCTCTGCGACCCTCCCCGTCCCATCCAACAAGACTGTGATTTTTCTTTGCTCAGAAATCAAAATAGAGATAATCTCTTCAAGATTAGGAAGAAAAGTCAGTTGATACCCGTGTTGATAAACAACAGAAGACTGCTTTCACAAAGAGCCTCCTCGGTCTGACCCCGCCCTACGCTGCCTCCAGTAAACCGCTACAGGTCTCCATCTCTGCCCTTTTCTTGCACCACTCAGACAGTCCTTTCAAAAAACCACAATGCTAAAAGAACGTATTTTCCCTGCACATATCATTATGAAATATTTGTGTAAGTAATGAGGATGAATACATAATGAGGAGCGAGGTGTTTGGGCTCCTTCCTCCACCTCATCACATCTTCAAAGACATTTCCCACGATACTGCACTCCTCCACCAGCCCCACCACTAACACAGAGCCTCTGAGCATAGATTAGCATGTGCCGCCCTTCCCCCACAGCTCTTACTGCATCCACACATCTTATTATATGGCACAACGCCAGGCATGTCACTTTTAAATTACACTTTTGTCATGAATACAGAAAGCTGTTAAAAACAGACAACAGTGTTATCCAGGGTTGTACGTTATTCAGAACTGAACTGAGAATATTTTTTTAAGTTCCAATTCAGCAGCCTAGTTTGAATTAAGGTAGCAAACTGAATGCAGAATTGCAATTTAAATTTATGGAAGTAGAATTGAAATGCACTGAAATTCATATAATTTCGACAAGTGTAATTTATAACCAGGAAAGAGAGGACTGTCAAGATGAACTTTGAGTGACTGCTTGACAAAGTCTTGTATGAAGTTTGACAGACAGATAAAAATTGGTTTTAAATGTCACCTTTAGAAATTTGCATTCGATTTATACTGCTGTTCAACTATTTATTTATTTATTTTGAATGAAATTGAAACGATACATTCAATTTATCAAAAGTGACAGTATCAAAAGTATAGTAAATAAAATATATGCTGTTCTTTTAAACTTTCAATTCACCAAAGAAGGGATCATGGGGTCCAAAAAAATACTAAGCAGCACAACTGTTTTCAACATTAATAATAAGAAGAACTGTTTCTTGAGCACCAAATCAGCAAACTAGAAATATTTCTGAAAGAAAGACTGAAGACTGGAGTAATGGCTGCTGAAAATTCAGCTTTATCATCACAAGAATAAATTAAATTGTAATTTTTTTTGTAAAAAATATTTCACAAAATCAATGTTTTTACTGGATTTTTGATAAAATAAATGCAGCTTTGGTGAGCATGCGAGACTAAAACAACAACAACAAAAATACCTACCCCAAACTTGTGGTATGGTATGAGTATACATATATAAATGAATGCAATATGTGCTTTTCTATTTTAATTTTCACATAATTTCTCTCAAATCAGTTGGTTCCACTTCCTGTAATTCAAATTATAATTCTGACTTAAATTCTGATTGAAACTTCTTGAGAGCTGTTGCCAATTATGAATTTTGCCCAACCCAGTTTATCAGTTTGAGAATATATGAAGACAAACCAAATCTGCACAATATTTTGTATTAAGCACTGCAAATTTCCACAGAAAGTCATAACATTTTATTATGTTGAAATCCATTCCTTCAAAATCAGTGCAGGAAAAGCTAAAAAAAAAAGTCTAGGCCTGAACATGACACACAAAACAAGGGAGACATCCATCTGGTGTGATTGCTGTTTGTGCAGAGAGCATTCTCATTTTAAGAGACACTTACCGATTGTTGTGGGGTGAAGGAGATCTCTCAGGCACAAAACTAGAAGAGAAAAACAAAGAGATGAATAAGAACATCACAGAATCTGTCCTCACCTGCTAAAGAACGTTTAACATTTTGTTGATGAAATATATGATTAATATTGTGTCTAATGGGAGAACCTCAACTTCAGTGATCTTATAAAGACAAATGACAACACATACACATACACAACCTACTAGCAGGGTCATCTATGATTTTTAGTAAAGCCACATCAATGAGTGATAAAAGTGAGTTTGACTGACACATGTCTATGACATTTAGCATTTAAAGGTAAACAGGAAGCTAGTTTTCTTCGGCATGTCACACACTTTGACTCTGTTTGGAGCCGAGAGTTGATTTCCGTGCCATGATTACTGAGCACCAGCTCACAAAGAGGCTGATTCAATCAACAGTGCCACTGCTCTGGCACAGTCTAAGGAGGGAGGAGGAGAAACAGGGACGTCCCAGCCGAGACAAGTGATGCAGAGCAGTCTCTCCGTCTTTCCTCTCCTCCTGACACTGTCACTTGTTCTCCTGTGGGGGTGCTTCTACACGAGCAGATGTTTGCCATTAGATAAGACTGATAACAACACCACACATGTCCCCCACAGACTTGGGTGACTTTGGCAATAATTTGTACACCTAATTGTAGAAGTGTCCTATAAATTTGTCAATTTCCTAAGAGACATGTGTCTTCCAGACGGGCTGAGACAAACAAAAATCAAATCTGATGTGAAGTGACACCATCACACCTAGGGCTGGGTATCGAGTTCGATACTTTTTAGGCACCGACCGAATTGCCTCGATACCATCGAGT